TGCATCATCTCTCTGAAATGAATGCACAAGTCTGGGCTCCTGAGATTGCGTCCCAGAGCTTCGGCTCTCGCCGAGCTCTTGTCCAGGGTGAGGTGGGACTGATGGGCAATGCAGCCGACGAGTTCTGAAAATCATCTCCTGAAGCACTTTGCTGGATTGGGGCCGCAGAGGGGTCACCTTGGTGGGGTGAGGAGCTGGGCTGGGGGTGATTTAGGAAGCCCAGTGCGAGCAGAGCCCTGTCATGGCCGGCTAGCCCCAGCGCTTCGTTACCCTCGGTGGCTGCGAGCCGTGCTGACGGCATTCGGCTGAACAGGAAACCACGGTGAGCAGCTGCTCCGGGGCTCTGCAGCCTGTGTTTGAAATTCCCCTCTCCCCTTCAGTCCCCCGGCCAGCCCCTTAAAATAATATCAGCAAATCTTAAAGCGCAGAGAACTGCGCTGCTCAAAGAGCATTAGGGTCCCCTGCAGGACCGGGGGCTGCAGCCCTCCCCCTGCTCTCTCCCCATCTGCCGGTGCCGTCGGGTGGGCTCTGTGCAGAGTCCCCGGCTGTCTTTGTCCTCCTGTGCCCATCGGCACCGCTACAGGGCCAGTGCCGTGACCGGCCTCCTTGCATCCCTCTGCCATGTGGAGCCTCAACGCCTTGTTTCAGATGCCACCTACGAACCTTTCCTTCATGTCAGCCTCCTGCTTCTTGTTGTGTTTAAGCCGGAGTCCCACTGCTGCCTGCGCCTCCGCTAGCGAGGAGCCGGTGCCCAGACCTTTTCCTCTGCTCCGTCTCCTCTCCAGAGCTCGGGAGTGGCTCAGGCAGGACCTGGTGGGCAGGGAGGTCCAGGGAGGTCCTGCTGTCCGCCATCCCCACGCAAGATGCCCTGCAGATGGGGATGAAAAATGGCCCTCCCATAAGGAGAGAGTTGGGCCAGGATAGATGTCAGCTCCTTCCCAAAGCAATGCTGGGGGCTGGCTGCGCAGAGGTGGCACGCTGCGGGAGGTGGGCGAGCAGAGCCGCCGTGACAGCTCCTCGCTTCCCAGCTCCTGCCAGATGCCAGGCAGGCAGGAGGAGCCGCCTGCCTCCGATGTGCCGCCTCATTTCCCATCCCCGCCGCCGCCGCACTCCCATCCATCCTCCTGAAACCCTGTCAGGTCTCAAGGAATGGTCTTTATCGGGGCCCAGGAACCAGGCAACGAGCCCCTCGCGTTCCTGCCGAGGGAGCAGGCTGTGCTCGTGATGGTGTATCTTTCCTTGTCATTGCTGCGAGGAGCTGAAATCAGCATCCTGACTAATTAGGAGGGCTGGGGAAAAGCAGATGAGGGGATTAAAGAAAAACAAAATCAATGCTAGGAAATAGAAATGACAGCACCTGTTGGCTGGGGCAAAGGGGGTGGGGTGAAGAGGAGGATGATGAAGACAAATACTGATGGGTTTCACTCCTGAAGCAGCTAGGGAAGAAAGGCAATTTGGTGTTGATACCTACGGCAAAAGCCCTTTTTCTTAATTGTGTGGCTTTCCCCTTGGCTCACTGTCTCTTAATGCTCTTTTCTTAGGGGAATCTGGCAGTGCAGTGCGGTCCTGCTGGCTGGGTCTGGGCAGGAGGGACGCGGTGGGCTTGGGAGATGACAAGGGACAACACCAGAAAGTGCTGTGGGGCACCTTTCCTCCCACCGACTGCTCACTGTGGCCTGGTCACCCCGGCACAGAGTCATCCCAGGCAGGGATATGTCCCTGCTGCGTGAGGTTTCTAAAGTGTGGGGTGGAGGACAGAAACAGAGACACCCAGCTCGGTGGTTTGAGGGCCAAGAGAGTTTTAATTTTAGCTTTGCCAGTTGCTCTCTTCCTCCCCAGGCGGGTCGCTTGCCTCTGCGGTTTGGGTTTCTCCTCTGTGAGATGGCGATAATGGTTCTTCTCTTCTCCAGGGGTGAACTGGGGGGGTTAATTAACCTTTGGGTGGTGATCTGAGGATGAGGGGGGTTGCATGCAGCTGTACTGTGGACACCTGGCTGGAACTGAATCCAAACCTTTCTGTAAAGACAGTGACAATCCTTGAACGTTCTGCCTTGAAAATTGCCCGCAACTCTGCTTCTGTCTATGACCTTTCCCTCCTTGTCTCTCCTTTTGTAGCCCTGCTCCTGGACATCATGATCGTGGCTGGTTTGCAGAAGCTGGCCAAGCGGAAGGGCCCATACGACATCCACCCTGGCTTGTTGGACTACTTGACCATGGACACCTACGCTTTTCCAGCCGGGCACGCCAGCCGAGCAGCCATGCTCTCCAAGTTCTTCCTCAACCACCTGGTCTTGGCCATCCCTCTCCGGATCCTGCTGGTCCTCTGGGCCCTCTGTGTGGGCTTTTCCCGCGTCATGATCGGACGGCACCACATCACAGATGTCCTGTCTGGCTTTGTTTTTGGCTACTTACAGTTCAGGCTGGTGGAGTTGATATGGATGTCTTCCAACACATGTCAGATGTTGATATCCATCTGGTGAACGTGGGGGACTTGACGCCTTTCCGCTGGAAACTAGCAGATACTTTAAGAGCCTCCCTCCCAGTATTTTCTACGTGTTGTTTGTTGGAAGCAGTTGTAACTTCCATGAGTAGTGGCGTTTTTTAATGTTGCTTCCCCTCCTGAAAGAAAAAAAAAAAAGTTTCTTGCAGTGGATTGGGTTTTAGCAATCAAGGGCCATACCTGTGTTTTGGCCATATTCTCAAACTGTGTTTGCACAGCAACCTAATTAAGCTTTACGGGTGAGAGAAATAAGCTACATGTCTGCCTAGTTTGGGTGGTTCACTTCGGCACCTTGATATGTCCTCAGGATGGGCAGCGCCTGAGAGCTTCCTGAGAATACGTTCGTTACCTTTATTGAGGCTAAATGATTTTGGCCACAGTGCTTTTTCTTTTTGTAAGCCCAGCAGTTGTGCCTTGTACAGAGTCAGGACACTGCCGGCACTTCACAGATAATAAATAATCATAAAAATCCTGCCCTGTTTGGTTCTTATCATGAGGGAAGGGACAAAAGCCAGTTCAGTGTAGCTTTGAGATACGCGTTCGACTTGGAGCAGGTCCTGCAGTCTTGCTGACCAAGGGGATGCAAGCGATCACTTAAATGGTTTGCTTTGGGTGGGGTGGACCTAGATGGGTGCTCGGGCCACTGAAGGTGGCATGCTGAAGCCGGCTGTTCAAAAATCTGCTCTGTGAGGGTGTGTGTATGGGTTTTGGTCTGGTAAAGGACAAATACAAGTTGCCCGTTTTCATCCTAGTAGGGAGTAACTGCATAGGCAGAGTGCTGGATCGTGGTAATTTTGCAGAGCAAATACACAGCAAAGAGGCTTTTTCTGTCTCTCCATGGCCATGATGTTATGGTTATGCCAAATGATGCTGTCGATGGGAATTTCCAAGGTAACTCTCTTACAGCATTGGCTGGTTTCTGGTGCACCCAGCAACGTCGGGCAGGGCGGCAGGACTGCTCATACCCCTGCCTCTGCTCATTTGGCTGTAACCCTGTTACAGAGGGAAATACTAAACATTTCTGTCTCACCTCGTATGAAATGAGGAGAGTGCTCCTGACCTTCCTTGATTACAAAGCTGAGCTACTTTATGCCTGTGAACCCATCTGAGATTACTGAATATAGAGTTTGATGCCCAGACACGGTGCCGTTGCTTCCCGTTATTGACAAGTGGCCACCTTGAAACCTGGGTGATCTTTACACAGTCGGTAGCCGTGCTCCATGTGGTGTCCCTGAAATGGATCACCCCTCATGACTGGCTAAGAAAATCCCGTATTTTGCACAGAACCTTCCAGTTCTCTGTGGTTTCTCTGTCTTTAGAGGAGAGTTTAATGTGAGGTGATGGACAGGTGATGGACACTACCAGACTCAGCACCTTCCCTGGTTGGATGCATCCTGCAGAATGAAGGGATCCCCCTGCCCTCCTGTCTATCCCAGGTGAGCAAAATGCACCTGGCTTGCAAGGCCAGGGAGCAACCAGCTGGGTCTTGTGCTCTCCTCTATCCCCGCGTATTGGGGGGCCTCTTCCTACAGGGGCTGCTGCTGAGAAGGAGAAGACATTCAGATAATGACTGTTGTAGGCTGCTAACATTTGTTGCTCTTTGATAATTAATAAGAAAAGAAGCTAACCAGAAAATCTCTCCGTGGCACACGTCTCCAGCTGGGATGTCAGCACAGAGCCCTGGGAGCCGCTGACTTCCCGTGCTGCCTGCTCCGAGGCTGGAGCAGAAGTGTGGTAAGGGGGGCTACCATGTCCTTTAAAGATGAGCCTCCCATGGAGCATCCCGGGGGTGGGCTGTGTGAGGTTCCCTCGGGAAGGGCTGTTGCTGAGTGTGTTCGGGAAAGGGCAGAGCTCTGGGTCTCGCTGGTTATCCCTGCAGGCTGGTGGGTTGGTGCTGCAGCAGGCAGAGCAGCGGGGGGGGTGGGGTGCTGCCCCGCTCCCCTGCTGCTCGTTTACCTGGGGAGCACTGCTGCGGGTAGGAGCAGGGACATGCTATGTGCCTGGCCTCCATCAGGGTTTTTCTTTGCCAACCTCCTCCTCCTGCAGAGACTTATGTGAAGAAGTGAACTATGGTGCCTTCTCTTTCTTCCAGGCATTATTACACTCGGCGGTTTATCCTCAGCCCTAGGAAGGATGGGGGTGCGTTGCTGTAGCTCTGATGGCATGTGTATGCACCTATGCATAGCTGGAGATGGTGGGTACCTGAGGAGACAGGGAGCAGGGGAGGACTTTGCCCTGATTGCTTCGTGGGAAGCTCTCGCGTTGTAGCTCTAGGCTTTATCGAACCTTTGCAAATGGGCTGGATGCATCTATAGCCACGTCTTAGTCCAGGTCTCCTTGCACTTGTGTTGTCTTCTCCTGGTATGTCCTGGATGGCTTTGGAGGAGTTACTCTTTGTCTTTGCTGCTGTGATCAGGAGCGTGTGGCCTGGAGAAGCTGCCGTGGTGGGTAACATCAGCTGAGCCAGTCTCATCCCAGCACGTGGTTACAAAACGAGGCAGAAGCGCAGGGAGAGGTGAGTTGGGGTAAGTTGGGATTTGCAGGACAGGGTTTGCTCCCATTCAGGGTTTCTTCTGGGAGCCTTCCTCCTTGGCACGCCTGAGCTTGCACCCCTTTGCTCCCCCAGTGCTTCAGGGCCCGAAGCGGGGGAGCTCGGGGAGCTCCTTGCTCGCTGCAGGGAGGGTTTGGGCAGAGCCCCCGGCTGGCGAGTGCAGATCTGGGCGCAGAGGCACCAGGAGAGGCCTAGCAGAGCTTTGCCTCGGCCGTGCCTGGTCCTCCCGGCAAGGCAAGTGGCACGGCACCGCACGGCGTCCGGCGTCCCTCGTCCCTCTCTGCTGGCTGCCTGCCACGCTGAAGGTACCGCGCAGAAACAACCAGCATCGCTGTGGGTAAAACCAGCTTCTGTCTCTATAGCAACAGTGAGGGATGGCGGTACCCACAGTGGGGCTGCCTGGCCTGTGTCCTGTGTCCCGATCCGTCCCTGTCACCCAGGAAGCAGGACAGGCTGTGGCTGGGTTAGCTCTTACCTCCCGGGGGGAGGCAGGGGACCCCCAGCCTGGCCGCCCTAGGGACACAGCTGCGTGGGTGGGGGCACGTGGGAGCGGTGACAGGACAACCCGGCTCTTCCACCGACAAGGTACAATCTGCAGGGATTGTCCTTAGCTTTCAGTCTGAGTAACACCGCCCCATCCATCCCGCTGTGGGCTGTGCCAGGGCGCCGGCAGGCAGCGTGGGGAGAGACTCAGCCCCCCGTGCTGCACTCACAGACACCCAGGGCCGGATCCTGGGTGCTTTGCCCCAGAGGCAAGGAGGGCACAGCAGCACGAGGTAAAGGACAATCTCCCTGGGCTTTGGACTTTAGTGTGGATGCCATCTGCTTTCCAGCCCTCAGTTCCTGCCTGCGAGGAGGACCATGGATGCAGCATGCCTGAGCAAGTCCTGCAGCCTGAGGAGGGTTTTCTCCCCGCTCAGAGGGTGTTAGAGGGATGGGGCTGGGTGTCAGCCCTGGCAGCGCTGCCAGACCGCAGGCTCCTGTGTAATGTGCTGGAGGCATCGCTGGGTTGTCCTCTCCACTGGCCTCACCTTTACCAGTGGCTGTAAGAAACACCGGTGGGTCTTGCAGGCATGCGTTACTTGTAAGCCAGCAGCTGAGGTCAATAATTTTTGCTCCTCATTCTCTGCTCCCCTGGAGCTCGTGCTGATGCTCACGCAGAGGTTTGGCCCCGGCTGTCCTGGGTGAGCTGGAGCAGGACACCGGGGCTGCCCTGTACAGATGCCCACCATGGTCATGTGGCTGCGAGGAGGCAAAAGGCCAAATGGTTTGAGATCATAGAATCACAGAATCATAGAATGTTTTGGGTTGGAAGGGACCCCTAGAGGTCATCTAGTCCAACCCCCCTGCAGTGAGCAGGGACACCGCTAACTAGATCAGGTTGCTCAGAGCCCCGTCCAACCTGGCCTGGAATGCTTCCAGGGATGGGGCCTCCACCACCTCTCTGGGCAACCTGTTCCAGTGTTTCACCACCCTCATTGTAAAGAATTTCTTCCTTATATCTAGTCTAAACCTACCCTGGCTTAGTTTAAAACCATTACCCCTTGTCTTGTCACAGCTGGCCCTACTAAAAAGATTTTCCCCATAATAATCCTTCAGGATTGCCCAGGAACATGAGTATTTTCCCTGAACCTTCAGACCCCCAAACTGAGCCGTGCGAGGCTCAGTGTGAGGCTCAGGGAGGAGCGGTCCTTCCCAAGCCAGGACACCTCTCCATCCCCCCAACTGGGGCATCTTCTGCCTTTGAGTTCATCTAACCGATGGATTAAGAAAATGCCCCAGAGGAGGCAAGCGCAGCAGATGGGTTCGGGGGCTGCTGCCCTCAGCGCTGCCTGTGTCCATGCAGCCAGGAGAGTCCCAGGCTGCGGCGGCAGCAATTTCATTTGTGATTCTGCTGCATACAGTGAAAGGCCCCTCCTCCCCTCACCCTAATGCTGATTATGCTCAGCAGCAAAAAGAGATTTTAATTTATTAAAAAAAAAAAAAAGGGGTGCCAGGGCAAGTAACAAATCTGGATTATATCTCTGGGCATATGTGGGAATCACAGCTGGGGTGTTTAGTTCCCCCCTTCCCAGCCTAAGCCGGTGTTTTATTCCAACAAGCTGTTTGGTACATTTGTGGCTGGGGCTGTGCTGAAATGAAGGTGGCACAAATCCTCTCCCGCATCAGGGCTGCGCTGCCCTCCCTGCTACAGGGCTGCCGGGGCGTCTCCTCTGCTGTCCCCCAGGAAGGGGTGACTCGGGCCCCGTGTCCCCCGGGGTGAGGCAGGAGGGAAGCGTGGGCGCTGGCTGGCACCCAGAGAGCAGGCTGGCAGATCTGAGGACTCAGGGGAGAATTAGGAAGGCTGTTACACAGGGTGAACCTGCAGTAGCAGAGGAGTGGTTCTAGTTCACTCCGTGATGGGTTTTCTTGGGCAAACGCACCCCTTTTATTCACTCAGGGGTGTTTCTGATAGGGGTCAAGGGACCCATGGGCTTAACAGGCTCAGCAGCTCGGTGCAGCAGGCACAGCCCCAGCACCGCTCCCTGCAGCACCAAGTTGTGCAGGACGGCCCCAGCAGCCACAAACTCATTTCTGGGGCTCAAAGGTTTCTCCTCAGTTAGGGAGAATCATCTGCATGATTTTCAGTTACGTTTTTGCACCGAGGCGATAATTAACCATGTCGTTTCCAGGTTAAAAGTTTAATATATTGGGCAAAGCCTGAAGAAATGGGAAGGTTCCTCCCTTTCACACGCACACTGTGGAGGGTGCTGGCAGAATGGGTGATGCTGCAGGTGGAAGATGCATGAACACAGCCGACGCTGTTTATGTGTGTTTGGCCACCTGAAATAAAGATGTGGCCAGTTCTTGCCTCGGCACAGAGGGCTGCAGGCCTGGGCACGGACACGTTGGCTGCAAGGTGGGAGCAGATGACCAAAGCGGTGGTTTTCATAGAATCGTCTAGGTTGGAAAAGACCTTTAAGATCATCAAGTCCAACCATTAACCTAACCCTGCCATCCCACCACTAAACCCTGTCCCTAAGCACCTCATCTATCCTTCTTTTAAATTCCTCCAGGGATTGGGACTCGACCACCTCCCTGGGCAGCCCATTCCAGAGCCTGACAACCCTTTCTGTGAAGAAATTTTTCCTAATGTCTAACCTGGTTTTCTCCAGTGTTGACCCAGGAGTCCCTGGCTGATGTGACTATGTCTGAATACAGTGCCCGATTCAAGGCAGTGTGGTGGGCTCTGCCCCCAGGCAGGCAGGGATGGGGCTGCTTCGTTCCCCGCCTCGCTGGGACTCGGAGGCAGCAAAGATCTCCGCGTCCGTTCCCCAGGACGCAAGAGTCAAAGCAGATTATGGGTCCCTCAGCTGATCACATTTATTTCATTATTAGAGTGAAATCCCTTGTAAATACCGCCTTTCCCCCGCCCTTTTCTTTTTATAAAAATAGAAGGCAGGGAAGAATTGGAGATTTAGGAAAAGTTAATCTCAGGAGTCGCATGAAAAAACGTTAACCTCTCGCAGCCCGAGCGAGGCTGAGCAGCGCCCGAGCCCAGCTGCAGTGGGGAGATGCTGAATGGGGGGGCAGTGGTTTCCCAGCCCCTCCAAAGCAGGGTTTTCCCTAGAAAATCCCTGGTTCTTAGCAGGGGAGGCCTCTCCGGCTGGGCAGTATTACAGCCACTTTGTTCACAGCTTGGCCATGATGAACTGCTAATTGTGGTGTTGGAACAAATTGGCTCAAGCGCCCAGGCCACACCAGGGCCCATGGCGAGTGGGGTCACGTCTCGGCAGCCAGGAAGCCCTGCGGCAAATGCTGCTGGCGCCGCGGGCTCAGGGCCATTGGAAATGCCAGTGCTCTTCCCTTTACAGTGTGGTTACTCTGAGCATCGCTGGAGGATGGGGATGGGTCTGGGGACCTGGGCATTGCATGGGGATCCTTCCCAGTTTAAGTAATTCTAACAAATTTCTAACAGGTACAGCTGGCTTCCTCTCCCCAGAAACTGCCCTGTCCTTGCAGAGTCCCCATTCCCGTGATACACCCTCACTCCCGGGACCCTCTCTGACTTTCTCACTTCTCCCAGGACCAGCAGCCTTGTGCAAGACCGTGGGCACTGGAAAGTCAGACCTGGTGAGATTAATTAAAATAAGAGCAATGGGAAGAGAAGCTGAGAGCTACAGTGATGGATGTTTGCAAAACACTGGCCCAGAGACCGAAGTGCTGTGGGCGTTTGGTGATGTTTGCTTCCAGCCAAGGAGCTGTGCAATGGTTAAATACGCTTGATGCAGCCGTGCTTAAGGAATCAGCCTCTGCCATCTGGGTGCAGGTCCACTTCGAGGAGCTGTAATGCACCCAGTGCTGATGCCTTCTCCCTGCTGGGATTTGCACCTTGGAGCTGCCAGTACTGGTTTGTCATGGTTTGCTTCCCCTGGATGCGAGGGGGGTTTTTATTTGCTTTAAATCCTAAACCTAAAGTTGTGCATTAATAGCATGGTAATGCATAGCTTTTGTGTCCAGCACAAGCCAGGGGTTATGTAAAACACAGATTAACGGGAATCAGCAAAATAGAGGAGCACATGGAGGGATGCGGTGAGGACGTCTTGGGAGGGGAGGCAGGAGGGAGCTGGGAGGTCCAGAGGGGAGAGAAGGTGGCTGAGCGGATTCGGAGCGCTTCCTGGCAGGATTTGCTCCTGTTATTGTTCTGCAGTCCCCGATTCAGGACATTTCCTGAGCCAGCGTTTCTGCGATGTGGGGTCTTTTGTCCCTGGGTGATCACAAGAAGGCAGAAAGGGGGTCTGCAAATTTGAATGGAAATGGCTGCTTTTTTTTTTTTTTTTTTAGACGATAGACATCATTTCTGCACCTGCAAACAAGCAGACAAACCACAGGCCGGAAGATAAAGTAACAAGCAGTCATCCAAAGGAAAGGCATGTTTTTCATTAGGCTGTAAATGATCCGGCCCCCCCCGCCCCGCCCGCAACATGGCTTGTTTCCCCTCTCCCATCCCAAAGAGGAAGGTGACACTTGGGTTAAGAAAGGCTGGGGATCGTCAGAAACTCCTTCCCATTCTTGCTCCTTGGTGATCAGTGGGAGACCGGTGCTGGTTTCCAGGGACCCCATGCACAACCCAGAACAGCAGTGCCCCAGCTTTGGGCAGAAAAGTTCCCTCCTGCAGACTCCTCAGCCCAGAAACATTGAAAATGTGCTGAAGGGGCAGCAGGGACTCTAAACCAAACACCTCCTTTTGCAAGCTCCTCGGAGCCAGGGCAGAGCAGGAGACACGAGCAAGAGAGGGAAAGCAACAGGTTTTTGAGCACCTGCCTCTGATCATGACCTTCCCTGGGAGAGCACAACCGTCTCGGCAGCTCTCCCCTCCGCCATACGGGAAGATGCCTCCCACCCTGGGAGGAAGGCACAGCTGGACTCCAACCATCAATCATGTCCCGCCGGGAAGGGCTTGCACGGGTTGTGGGATTCCTGGTGGCGTTACTTTTTTTCAAAGCGTCCTGCAATAACAGCAACCGTTGCTCAGCTTCCTTTCCAGATAACCTTTTTCCTGCTGCCCAACATGCTTATCTGCTGCAGACAGACTGGCAAGATGAACCGGAAAGCTGATACCTTATCTCTCCCTCTCAAGGAGCTTATTTAAGTGCTGGAATGTGTTGCGACGACGGTAAATGATTGTTAAATCCAAGTGAGGAACATGGACCTAAGGACAGGTCCCGCTGGGAGGGAGCACCTAGTCACAAAGGAGATTCGTGGGACTACAGCCATTCTGGGTTTTTTCGTCTTTTATCTGCCAAAAGATGCATCACCTAAAATGTAAAGTGTTTGTTTAAAACCAAAAGGCATTGACTGGGTTTCTCGCTAATCTGTGGGTTAATGCTGCAGGCTGCTCCCAGCTCCGTGAGGTTCACCATGTCCCTTCGATAGGGCTTTATCTGTGTCTCAGTTTACTCACTGCAGGAAATATGGTGCCGTGGGTTGGCCTTGCAAGAGGTGCAGCGAGGGTTAACAGTCAGCATGTGATATCTCATGGCCTGTATTCCTTGTTCACCCTTTAATCTGGACTCGGTGCGGGAAGCAGTAAGATGCTAACACATCCATAAAGGTAAATAGGATTTGAGAGCTATCGGGCTAATTGAAATAAACGGGGCTCAGCTGCTCAGAAAGCCTCATACAACGAAATGAGACCTCTCCGGGGACACAGAAGTTGAGCAGAGCTTCAGCACGTCACTTATTTCAGCCACTGCAAGTGGCAACTACAGCAATAGCAATTGCAGATGCCTGGGTTTGAGTGCTGTGACAGCAGAGGGGTCAGGGAAAACCAGCATGGCTGGGGTGATGTCCGTAACAGCTGCTAAGGAGGGGTGAGACAGACTTATTTTGGTCCTGTCCTGGGTGGAAAAACAGACAGCGGTGCCGGGTGCCAGCCTGGAGCACTCTGTCAGCAAAAGCAGGGGTGCTCTCCCTCCCTCCCTCCTGGCAACTGTGTCCCAGCACACCTGGGGGGTAGGATGGGGAAAAGGGGAGAGGGGCCAGGCAAAGCCACAGGAGAGCAATCCTCCACCACTGGGTTCTGTGGCTCTAAAGAGCTCTGGGTGTGAGTGTCTGGATCCCAGTGCACAGACCAGCGAGTGATGGGTGCTCACCTGTGCTGGGGGGGATGTCCCTGCCCCTCCCCTGCCCTGACAGCACCACTGAGGGCCGGGCTCAGGCTTGGGGGTGGCTCTTGCCACTCCAGCTACTTTTGCACAGTAGTTGCTAGAGAAACTGTACATTGGCAATGAACACTGCTACCACAGGCTGCTGCATCTGAAAGTTAATCTGTTCCACATCACCAACTACTTTTCCATAGCAATGCATAAGGAATCGTCATCCCAGAGCAGACCTCAGCTCATCTGTGTGACGGTGCTGAATGCTTCAACAGAAACACAGGTGACCCTGCGGCAGCCAGGATGGGACAACGCACTTTCTGGGAGGTCTCATCCAGTCTCCTGGGTCAGACTAGAGCTGACCCATTACTGAGGCTTTTCATCCCTTGCAAACTCTTGCAATTAAACACTGTGATGCATGTGTCTGCAAGATCCTCCAAGTTCTCTTTGCATCTTATGAGGTCCTTGACTCCATCCCTTTGGGTAGCAGCCGGACATCAGCCCCATTCATGGCCTTTTTGGGGGTTGCAGAGAGGACCCTGCAGGGAAGCAGGACTGACAGCAAAGGCCATCGTACTCATTTTTGTCCCCATGATGTGATGTAACTATGCTGATGGGGAACGGGGCTGGTATAGCCGCTATGTCCTGGCATAGCTGATCAATGCTGTGTGCCTCTGCCCCAGCCCTCCTTGCAGCGTGGCTTAATTCCTTTAGGACAGCTCTCATATTTTGGGCACATTGCAGTTTCAGTCCTCGTGCCGTGTCCCTGCTGGGTGCAGTGACTGTAAGGATGAGGCCAGGCTGCCCTGTGGGGCCTGAAGGCGCCCGGCTCCGGCTGCAGCCCCCACCCCACTTAGCAGTTGTCTCTGTCAAT